GTCAATTTTGAATTTGGTTTTATGCACAATTTTAGAAAACTTGCTAAATATGTTGATGGTAGCTTTTAGGTTTATGGTTAATTTTACTTTAAATTTAATTTATAGATCCTACAATTTATGTACAAATGTATCTTAGTGTTGTTGGTTTAATAGCGTGTAATTTACTTTAATAAGTAGTATTGTAAGATTTTCTTCGTGATATGACTATGACTGACCAAATTGCCTTATTCCAATTATCTAAATGCAAATCGGCAATATAAAAACAGGAATAAAAAATGTGTTTAGTTAATTCAATTAGCGATCGTAGTAGACCTTTTCTTGTGTTTCGAGCAACAAAATATTCGCAATGAGTATGTCGTTTGGGTTGCTTTAATGATCTCGCCCGAAGCTCAGTTGATGATCCCATTTAATTGATAAATAGCAACGCATTTTATGCCATGTTCACATTACCATGCAAATTATTTAATTTAGTTCAAAGTACTCCACTCCACATAAAGTACTGAAGTGCGTTCATTTCGAAGATTTCTATAGACCACTATTTATCAGAGAGACCTTTAACCCTTTGCACGTCTATACAAAATGTACAAGACTTCTATAAAAGCTCTGGAATAAAATCTATCAACGTTTGTATAGGGTTCTAGTTAACTCATGCTTTATGCTCTGAGACTACCACTCATCCTTTCTGGAGCCCTTTCTATACCGGTTACGGAAACCAGTATACCACTATTGTCTGTGTAAACTAATTACGACGTAAATGTGGCTGTATTAGGCAGACCCGGCTTTTTAGCAACCATTTTTTCTTAGTTGAACGTTTAGTTCGTTTAATAATCATTCTAGGGTTTGTAGGGTAATTGTGAAGAGAGATTTATACACATTAATCTGGGGGTAGAGTAGACCTATTTAACCGCAGTATTACTAAGTTTTGCTCAACACAATAAAATATCCAACGATTTATAAATTCTAACTAGGTTCTTGGTTCTGCATCGAAATTTTCGAAGACAGAAAAATTAAACAGCAGACTCTGGCATTTGTCTTAAACTAAGTGAAAACATCTTGTCCAATCGCACTAAAAAGGATATGTGTGTTGATTGATATAGGTTAGAACTGGAATCACATAATTTTCGGACCATAACAATATCGGTAATGGCATAAATCAGGAAAAAAATATGCCAACAAATTTTAATAACAAAGTACTACACAGTAAAAACCAGCCCTTACAAATCAGTCATCATTGCTGGAACAACAACAATTCTGACCGGTATCAAAGAATAATTGCACTCTCGAGCTTTGAAATTAAATGTACATAGTCAAACAAAAAAAATAAACGATTTTGCTAACCAAGTTTAGAATTAGGAATTTTCTTTGGTTTCGAAAAGCTCCAGACTAAACTTAACAAGGTATGACGGAAATTCATTCCAAAATAAATGAAGACAAACTTCCTTGAAAATAAGTATTTATAAGCCTTAAGTATACTAAAAAAAATGTTTTTATAGCAAGTTTATCTTCAAATAAAAAAATTTTAATTAAATATAATTGTAACCACGTTACCACTGATTAACTCAGTGTTAAATTTTTCATTCAACCCCTCTTGTCGTCTAGCCATATCTTCAGATAAAGAAACAGGAAATTTGTAGTCCGATAAGTCTAAATCGGGAGTTTATTGTAGTTACGGAGTAGTTCGTAGCCCATTTTCTTCGGACTTCAATGGCCGCCGCTTGATTAGTATTTGCGAGTGGTAGGGCTAAGCATATGATGGACACTTTTGGTTAAGGGACGATTTCTAGATACCCCTTTTGATCTAACTTAAGGTTATCTGAACCAGGTAGCTAGGTGGGCGGCCAACTGCGGAACTGGGCTGGTTTGCCAGGAAATATAAGATATCCCTACTGTTTCTTCCCTCGATCGGGGCTGTTTGTCCGCTCCCAGACAAGGTCAAGTACTCAGGCTTAATCCTGGGTTCGCAGCTGTCGTGGAAGCCTAACATTGAGGAAAAGGGAAGAAAGGCATCGATTGCCGTTTACTGCTGAAGGGGAACTATTGGTAAGAGGTGGAGTCTCTCGCGCAATGTAATTCATTGGCTCTATGAGACCATAGCTAAACCATTCTTGTTTTACCGAGCCCATATCTGGTGGAACTCACTAGAGAAGGTTACACTTATAAAGTAACTAGAGCGTGTACAGCGGATCGCCCTAATGGGCATAAGTGTGGCATTAAAAACCACACCGATACCGGCGCTCAACATCATGTTGAACATTGTCGCCGCGCGAACTGCTATTCGGCTTAGGGAGACCGGGTGGTTAACTGGTTCGAAAGCTGGACTTTCTGGAGTTGTGGAGGGCTTTGACTTCCTCTCTTAATACACAGATTACTGCATCCCCGAAAGGACTCTCACAGCTCCTTCTCTACCTAGATTCCCTCAAGAGAGGACTAGGTGAGGTGGGGTTACTGGAAGAAGGGAGCAGTAAACTTCTTCATGGACGGAAAACAACTTGGAGACAGGGTTGGTGGAGGTATATTCTATCGGAAACTCTCAAAACTATGTTCAGGCTTATGGACTTCTGCACTGTCTCTCAGGTACAAGCGCTAGACTCACTGCTAAATAGTGTGACGTCAGTTAGGGAGGTTAGCATATACTCGCATAGTCAAGCGACCACCACGGCCCTGAACGCTACGATGGTGCGCTAGAAATCGGTAAGTGAATATCCGACCTCTCCATCAATCGCATCGGTGTACTAGAAGTAGTAAGGCTAGTTTAGGTGTCGGGTCACAGTGATAACGCCGGAAACTGCATGGCTGATGACCTGGCAAGGAAAGGTACCCGTGAAACGTTATCACCAGATATGGAGCAACTTGGAACGCTTCTGTCGCCCTGCGGTATACTCTTGGACGGTAGGAGGATATGCGCAATTGCAGATCCTCCTGGCCTGCGGCGGACCGGGGGCGGTCAAAGAGCTCCTTATGCTTGGGAAGTCTCAACTTTCAGGCCATTGCGCGATTGGTATTCACGCGGTAAGAGTAGGAGTTTCAACTCATCTCTTTTGTAACAGCTGTCAAGAGGAAGATGAGACGGAATCATCTGAATTCTTTCTATTAGAGCGTCCAGCCCTGAGCTCACATTCGAATTAATTATGGTCTCCGTTCAGTAATTCGTGGCATCACAAAGGACTTGTCCAAGTGTGTCCCTTGCCTGGGGCAACAACCTTAACCTAACCCAACCTACTAACAGCTGGCAGTTACAGGAGCAGCGCTACACTTCATGTTACTATGCGGGCGATTCAAAAGTCATGGATTTTTTCTTTTACCAATCATTTGAGGTTGCATTTTAGTGAACTATAATTTGATAAGCCGGTGTTATGTGTGTAATGTAAAAAAAAAAAAATTTGCTTCATGTTGTTTTATGCAGAATTTCCATTGCCCATTGAAATGACAAGAGACATTACGGCATTAAAAATGCCAGGTGAAATTGGACTTTAATGAGTATCCTGTTTGACTGAACATATAATGACTCGAATTTTGTTTGATGTCCAACGTTGGAGAAAAATTGTTTGTCATTTAATGTGCCGTGAAACTACGGTATAAGTATTTTTCTTACTTGAGCTGAAAATTTAAATGTATGTAAATAATTCCTTTTTGAAATCATAGCTCAGTAAAATACCAATACATCAAGACTTTATACTCTACATATATATCTAAATATTCACACACGCTTCCTTTCAATTTATGTACATAGACCATTTTATTGATGTTCCTATTTTAAAAACAACGTCTCTTTGTTTTTTGTGCACGCACATGTGCATTGCAAAGGATTTAACTATTTTCGTCTTAGTTCCATATAACAACTAAGTATGTAGATACATATATAAATTTTTTCACTTCTCTCACCACACCGAGCTGCTAATTTCCAGCTACTAGCAACTAGCAACAACAATAACAAAGTAGTCTGTGTGTATATCGGTATGTATGTATGTATGTATGCAACTGGCTATTAACTCGAGCAACAATCTAATCATTAGATTCTAATGCTTGGGTGTAACGCCTAAAAATAGACTTCAATGCCACCTAATGAGTTAACAAATTTTCGACAACCCACACACTTCTGTGCCCCAAAACTACTATTATTGTATTTCCATGACAGTAGCAACAGGTTTGCAAAAATAACTGCATATGTATGTACATAAGTATGTGTGTGTATATACATGTATTTATGTCTAATGGAAGCGTTGTTAGGCGTAGGTTGTGATGGTGCTGACGCTGGTGTTTTAAGTGACTAGTTATACATTTTTTGTTTTTGTTGTACTGCTGTGTTGAGTGCTTGACTGCAAAGGTACGCCACGTGCCCAATTTTTCCCCCAAATATTTTTAATTTTTTATTTAATATTTTTAATTTCAACAAATCAACCATATTTTCAGTTGCATTTGTCGTATAAGTATTGGCGGTGTAACTTTTCTCTTCAATGTACATACAGTGGTGGCAAAATAAATAGGGACACGACATTTTAACAAATTTTTCCTATTTAATTTTTAATCAGATTTTTTAGAATTTTTTTCATTAAATTTTGCAAGTGCAAGTTTGAAGTTCCGAAAAAATCGCGTTGATTTTTGATAATTTTTATTCTGAATTTTTCAAAAAAAATAAAAAATTGCGTTAAAAAAATTGTCAAAAATCAACGCAATTTTTTGGCAAGTAAAAACTTAAACTGCATTATACTAAAATTCAATGGGCTATAAAACTGCATACTCAAAAAAATTCCAAAAAATCGGATTAAAATGTTGACAATTTAGATGCAATTTTGCAGAATTTTTATAATTTTTGCACAAAGTTTTAAATATGAATTTATAAGGTTTTTTGTTGGATAATGAGCTATACTTTTAAAAAAAAAAAAATAAATATTATGTAATCAAAAGAGAAATAGGAACATTTTTTTTAAATGTCGTGTCCTTATTTATTTTTCCACCACTGTATCTGCGCACAAATATAAAAATAGTGCTATAATACAAAAAGGTACAATGCAGCTACTAAACGACTTTTCCACTTAACGTTTAAAAAAAACAAAAAAAAAATAACAAGAAAAAACGAGAAATTGACCAAGTACTTTTGTAGCATAGGCATTTTGTAAAAGCTTCTCTAGCTCCAGCTTTTCGCTTGTACGTATGTATGTATGTGTGTAAATAGTAACTAACATTTCCTTGCAAGCTATGCAATATAGGCTCACCCCGTTCCCATGTATGTATGTATGTATGTATGTATTAATGTGTAAGTAATGGTGTTTTCTATGCAACAAATTCTTTAGAAGAATCTTCTTGTAAGCTCTTTTAATAAAATATGTAATTTTTACTTTTCACTTTTCTGCCAAGTAAACTCCCACCTCGTAAAGCCCTAAGGACTTTTAATGCAAACTGCTTACACAACCTCTCGTACATATGTATGTCGCTTAATTACCAAAGCGAATAAGTCAACATTTTCCGATATGGAAATTTTTATGCATTTCAACAGAGCTTCTTGAAGCAAACCGAACGGCATCAAAACTGCGATTCCGACTTATTCCCTTTGGTAATTAACCGATTCATATTTTGTATTTTTTTTTTCATTTCACTTATTTAACTAATTATTTGTTATTGTATTATAATAAATTCTTCTTCTTCTTCTTCTTCTGCTTTTAAATAGTTGCCAATATTACTTGCTTATATCTAACAAATTGCAATTGAGCATTTGCGCTACATAAATTATTACGGTCATAAATATAATCATTATCATTATCATTGTAATTATAATTAGTATTTTGTTTAATATTGAAAAAAATTTGCATTGGTGTTTTTGTTGTAATTATTTTTCTTCGTTTTGCTTGCATTATTATTGTTTCCGTATTTGTGATGGTGTCGATTTTATTGTTCATTGTATTTAGTTGGCTGCGCGTGATCGGTCAAGGAGAATTATCCGAATCGGAACCGCCTAGCGAATGCATCGGAAAGAGCGGATACCAACCGCCGATGCGTTGCGATGCATTGATTTTGTCCAGATTGACTTCGGTGCCGCCTAGGCCCTGATTGTGCTCGAAGCCGACGCAGCGTTGCCAGACCATAATGACGATGTTGCGACCGAAAACGTCAGCACTCTGTGGAAAGAGTTTAAGTTTAGTTATAAAGTAAATATTTATGTAATTGTTAGTAATACAAGGATTTTTAAAAACTTGGTTTGTGTTAGGTTTAGCCTTTAGGGTTCACGAAATTCAAGGGCATAGTTAGTTTTTGAGTTCATTAAAGAGATGGGTGTAATAAAACAAGGTACATAGCGGCTGCGGAGATCTTTTGTATCATATCAACTAATAAATTCGAATACATAGTACTTTGGTAAATAAGGGGTTCGGCTGTGCATGAATTAGAGTATTTCAGACCAACCCCTACATTCTAACAGTGTCACAGCAATTGCTCGCTCTATCTTAATATACTTTCAATATATTTTCAGTTGAGATAGGGTATTTTTAAACCCAATTCTGAGATAGGCCGTTCTTCAACTGAGTATAAAGTAAATTAATTGTATATTCCCTTCGTTCCTCGTGTTCAGTTTTCATCAGTTCAGTACAAAATCAATAATTGGGCAAACACTTAGGGAATCAAAGCTTTACGAGACTACATCATACAATGGACAGAGGCTGTTCGACTTTGGCGTGGTATGTAACATGGGTTGTCCTGATCAACCCAAAATTGAGAGCTGCAGTCAAAGCGGATAGCTGAAATTCTTCCGTATCTGACTTTAGATTCTTCTTAAAATAAAGTTACGGTTCGTCGATAGAATATAAATAAGTTCTGGGACTGCGTCTCGATATCTTTGGCATCCCCGTGGAAATTGTCGCTGGGTACTTTCGTTTTGGGAAATGGAACTTTGCCGCCGCACGTATCCAGACATCGGGCTTACGATTGAAAAATTTTACCAGAAGCGGTCTTTTTGTAGGATGAAGGAACTCGATAAAATTCTCTAGGAACCTTCAAGACAACCATTCCATGCAAGAACTACGGTCCCACGCAGAGTTTAACAGTGACAGCACCGAAAAAAAGCATTAGAGGCGGTTAATACGAAGAAAATGTTACTGGACTCATTTTGGTATCCAGCAGCGGCGAGTCAGTTTGGCCACTAAACGATTGCAATGCATTGGGACATTTTCTACTGCTCGGACAAGGGTGCGCTTCAAAGACTAAACGCTTGGATGTCGAGTCGTACCAGTGGACCATAATTTATAGTCCAATTGATTGGGCTCTGAGCTACCAGTTTCCCATTGAGCCGTGGAAATGAAGTTCTAAAAATTATTGTGTATCGAAGCTGAGGGGTGGTCACGTTGAACCCTCGGGACGAGTTTGGACAGAGTATATAGTATAATTCTGTTTGTTGAACAATTCTTCCACAGTGAACATAGTTAGTCTGTGACCGTTTTTCGGGGACTGGCTAAACACGGCTTTCGATTTTGCCTTAAAGATTTCAAAACTTGAAGTATTTTAAAGTCTAAGCCATTAAAGGAGAAATATTGTAATGGAATTTTAAATTTTCACAGATTTTATGTCAGTTTTACGCCAGCCATGCATTTAAAGCCTATTCCCAAATAAAACAATTGCTTCCTTCAGCTGCGCCTATTTTTAGCCGCAAATAATTTCCACCAAAAGTACCTTCTCCATTCAAAAAGTCATTGTGAGTGGGATTATACTGTGCTACAGAAATGTAAATACGTGCGCACGTGTGTGTGTATGTGCGTGTACATTTGTACATTTGGATGTGTGCATTGATAAAATGATTGCATGGTCACCTGGTTTGTTGCTGAGTTACAACAACAGTGCAATGTTGCAGAGCTTGCGATTAAAAGTCATCGCATGAAATGCATAAAATGTACAAAAGTTACTAAAGCGACAATTGCACTATACATATTTATGCTTATGTATATGTGCGGATGTAAATACATATTTACAGTCATGGTCAGCAAGTCAGGCATGTAAAATTTCACGAATGTCTGTAATCAAATAGGGAGATGAGTGTGCAACATGACGGTGGTATTTACAAGGCTTTAGGGCGCTCATGTGAATGTATATTTGTATATGTATTTGTCGGTACAAAAACAAAACACAAATGGTGAAATACCCGTAGGAAAGTGAGCAGTTATTAAATACAATTTATTTTTATTTTTTTAATTCATCTCCTCAGCCTCTCAGGTTCGCCATTGTATATTTATATTTATGTAGTTTCGTAGGAATCCTAAAAGTTCGAAGTCCTAAAGAATCCCGAAAAAAAGCTTCAAGGGATCCGAACACATCGCTAGATATTTCCAAAACTGCCGAAAAAAAACAAAAAACGAAAATCACTTGAAAATGTTGAATGAAAGGTTCCGAAATTAATCGAAAAATTCGAAGCAGCTCTTAAAAAATATACAAAGAAAACTTTGACAGAGCCCGAATAACAACTGGAAGAAAACAAACTGCTCCGAATAACATCGAAAATAACTGAAAGAACAAAAACAATCCAAAAACGCCCCAAAAAATGCTTAACAGTTCTTGAAAAAGTGATTTCAAACTATCCGAAACAATCTCAGAAGCCACAAAAAACCGTTGAAAAAAATCGAACGACCACAACAAGTTCAGAAGTATTGCCAAAAGCTCCGAAAAAAATCTCGAGAAATTTCGAGAAAATCCCGAACGGTGAAAAAAAAATCCCAAAAAGTTTTTGAAAATATACTAACTATTCTGAAAAATCATGAAAAGCCCCACACACAAACTAAAAAATCGCGTTAACTTCAGGAAAAAATACGAAAATACAATAATATTAAATCTCAAACTAACCCAAAAAAATCGCGTAAGGTTATAAAAATTTCAGAAGTGTTGTGAAAAAGTTTCTTTAAAATAACAAAATGTCTAAAAAAGACCACAGAAAAGGAGATTTCAAAAGAATTCAGTTAAAATGATTTCAAGCTGTGCCGAAATATACCGAAAAGTTTGAGAACCTAAAAAATCCCAAAAAGTTATAAACAAGCTAAAAAAAATTATAACCTCCAAGGAAACCGAAAATTGATTGAAAAAAAATTTAAAAGTCGCTATATGATACGAGAAAGTCTTGAAGGGCTCAAAAAAAAATGGAAAAAAATATCAAAAATATTCAAGTGAATACAAATATAATTTCAAAAGAAGCCAAAAAATTTAAATGCTCAAAATATTGGTCTAAATATTTAGAACTTTCAGTTTACAGGCTCTGATTTCGTCATCGTTATCATGCACCCCCCCAAACAGATCTTAAAAACGTAACGAGCGTTACAATGTAGACAACATAACTAAATCTTACTCAACCAAAGATATGTCAGAAGAAAAAAATATTGTTTAAACATTAACTACCTTGCTCCGGTTGCCCTAAATTTGATACACCGACTGTAGCACGGCACAAAACTATCCGCTATGAAATAAAACATCACCTACACATACATAACATAGAATACGCACGACCCACCCGTACGTCACCGCTAAATGAGCGCATTGGGATTAAACCCACGCTGCTCAGTTCGCTGAAAATCATCAGCAGTAAATTTTTCGCAAAATTGCGGAAATGAAACGGCAAAACTCACAAATGAGCCGGTGTGTAAGTGTGTGTCTAATTTTTGAGTGTGTGTGTGCGAGGGCTTAATGATAATCAACCAAAGTCTGTTCACCTACTCGCTTTTCTCGCTCCACCACGCCATGAACTGTCGTTTCGAGGGTGCCTGACAGCAGTCTGACCTACTTTGCGCTATGACCATTAGATATTGTGCGACGAGGGGGAGGGGGGGAAGGGGGGCGAGGATAAATGTATGTACATATGTTTGGGGCATGTTGCATGCCCTCAACCTGCAGTTAGTCATTTGGTTGCATGCACTTACCTGATACTTGAGCGTCTGTTTGTAGATTGGCTCCGCTGAGTGCCTCACCACGCGCGTCTTCTTCTTATGTCGCAGTCGGTCGCCATCCTTAACGTAGCATTTCACATATGTGTCCGGTGGTGTTTCACAATCCACAGGCACTATATTGCGTGCGCATATCACCTGCAATTACAAAAGCAAAAATAAAAACAAAAGACAAGTAGAGGGAAGGACGGAACGCGTCTACAAAGTGGACATAAATGAAAGGGTAATAAAATGTGGCGAAATGGCTGCTAATGGGCACACTGGGACCTTCCAGCATTATTGCCTGTAAATGTATGTATGCACATACATATGCGCTGACGGCTAGGTAGCCTGTGTGTTGCATGTGGCATGTGGCATGTGGCTGCTCTTCGCAAGCGCTTAATTGGGCGTGCAACTGTGCGCAAATTTTCGTAAATTTTCAACGAGCTGCATGGCCATATAAGCGCCGCAAGGCAGTTTGGTTGACTGCGCTTAAGCGCGTAATTTTAAACTTTAACAGCCATCTAGGCGCGCAGGGAACGCATGCATACAAATATCCCTGCAGGCCTTTACTTCGCCTCGTCCATTGCATCCTACATATTTTAAGCTGCATACTCACCTCAACCTCCACCACGCCCTTGATTTTCGCAAAGCCCATTTTCAGCTCGCCATGCCGCACGGTCGTCAAGCGATAGCCCTTCGGATGTATCTGCCCTGGACCCATTTTGAGTCCATAATCGGTATCGATGCCCGTTGTGGCGACCGTGGTCACAGTCGTGGACGTTAGACTGCCAATGCTGCCGGCGTGACTGCCATGGTGGCTGAGATTCTTGGCGCTTGCGTTGTGCGGTGCCATGCTTTGCTTGCGCAACATGGACGGGCTGTCGGTGGTATTCACGTTGTAGATGCTTGGCTTGCGCATGGGCGACACCTCAGCCTCGAGCGCACCAGCAGCACGACCGCCTGGATAAACGCTGCCCTTGCGCTGAAGCGAACCGCTGCTGCCGCTGACCATACTGCCCATACTGCCAGTTTCACGCTCCGTATTTGTGTGTGCGTAAACGCTACCCTTACGCTGCAGCATCGGCGAGGGAGCGAGCGCATTATCCCCTGCGCCTGTCTTCAGATTGATCATGCTGCCTTTGCGCAATTGCTTGGGACTGTCGGCGCCTACACTCAGCAGACTGCCACTGGCACTCTGTCCTCCTTGCATTGCTACGTTTGTGGCGGAGGAGGCTTGCTTAAGCATAGAGAGCGCTTGTTTGGCGCTCTGTGGACGCAAATTGTTGCCAGAACCCTTCCAGCGTGGCGAAAACTGTTTGTTGCTCTCCTCGTCGGAGGGTGGACTGGTTGCTGCATTGCCAATGCCTACAGGTAATTGTTGCTGCAGATGCTGCTGGAGTTGTTGATGCTGTTGATGTTGTTGTTGTTGTTGTTGTTGCTGCTGCTGGGAGATGTCAAGTATGGAGCCTTTGCGGCTGCTCGGGTTGCTCGGTAAGCAAATGCGACTGCCACCTAGCCGTAGTTGTTCGAGTGGTTGCAAAATGAATGAAAAATGGAAACGTTAATTGCGCATACCAACGAAGTTGAGAGCATAAGTGGGGCCTTAGTACTCAAGGGAGTACGCCTGGGCTGGTACACCAGAGGGTACTTGCAAGAATTTCAATACAAACTGAACTCAAGTATACACTAAAGTAAACAAAAAAACAAAAAAATCTGCTGCTCAATTCGCATATTCCACTTACTTAGGTACTTAAGTACGAATATAAGTGGGTGGATAAGTTACAATAGAAACAAATTTTAACTGTTGAATATGCATATAAAACTTACAAAATATGAACGTTTAAGTAGCGAACTCAAGGTAAATAGCGAAAGAGCATGCGAGGAATGAATTTGTACGTATATATTTGTGCGCTAGGAAGGTGGGCAAATTTAAATTGAAATCAACGGCAGCTAGCTAGCTGCGGAAGTATACATATCTAAGCATGATAAACATATATGTATGTACATATCTACGTAACATTGTAAAATTAAAGCATTCAACAGAACAGCTAGGTTTATTAAAAGAGAATTGGAAAAATTTTCCGGGTGTTGTGTAAGTATGTGTGCAACATACATATATATTTAAATATCCTCAGAGAAACGAAAATTTAGCTTTGTCAGAAGTGTTCCCAAGCACCGGCTATTTTGCACCATCATTTAAAATTTTTAAATTCAACTTTTTTAAATATCTTTAAATACGAAATGGGTGGCAACCCTACTCAAACATTAGCTATTTGAGATGCACCTAAGCACTACTACTTCTGTTCAAATATGGAGTGTTTAGTTTACTTTATTAACTTTAACTATTTAGATAGGTGGCAACCCTATATAAATTTATAAAATTTGTTGATGGTTGGCAGCTCTAATTATAAGTCCAAATCGTACAGAAATATTGTTCTTTAACTGAAACTTTAAGCTAGATTTGTAACTTTAATAATCTAAGGAGGTGGCAACCTTATGAAGAAATGTGGGTTAACTAAAGCTTTCTTACAAAAATTTCCAATATGATGCATTTTCAAATATTTTACGCATCTTTTTTATACTTCTTGCCTAAATAGCTGGCAACCCTCTTAAAGAGTTAATTTATCTGAATTACAGTTTTCTCCAAATACCTGCGTTTAGTATATGTTTTTTTTTATTTTTCGGTTAAGTGGCCACTCTGTTTAAAATATTTTCGCAATAATTTTTCATAGCAAACGGCCTCAAGCTCAATAAAAATTCTTTAATATGATTTATTAGGTAAAAAAAAAAATATTTCCAGCTGAAAATAAACACGTTGAATAGAATTGCGTTTGATGCTCATATCCTAATAATTTTTTTCTTAAGATAATAATTTTATATGGAAGAGGTTGTTTGTAATTTTATTGTACATACTTTTTTCTTTTGGCTTTACTGATGAATTGGATTTATTGTAAGTTTGATATCAAATTTTCCTCTAAGTGGCAACCCTAATTGAAAATATCATTATTCAAAAATTAGTTTGCCTCGGAAATGTCAATATACCATTTTCTCTTAAATTTTTGGGATAAATAAATTTTATTTAAAATTATTCTTTTTTTTAAGTGGCAACCTTAGTTAAGATGAACGGTGTTTGAAACCCATTTAGCATGAAAACGTCTACATACACTTTAATTCAAATTTTTTGGGTGTATACATTCCTTTTGTTAAATTGTTTTTTTTTATGTGGCAACCCTAGTTAAAAGTAAAGATGTTTGAAAATAATTTGAGTTTAAAAAAAAAACAGATTTATCCTTTAATTTTAACATTTTTTTTTTAATTATTTTTTCAGTAATGTGGCAACCCTAGTTACAAGTAACTATGCTTAACAAGTAAGAAAGTCTAAGTTCGGGCGGAGCCGAACATTAAATACCCGGCGCAAGTATTAAATATATGTTTTTTCACCCCTCCGAAACCTTCCGCTAGATGGTAAGACGAGGTGTATCAATTTTGAGTAAATTAGCGTCCTTCAATTTCGAAATATTGAAGTTTCAAGCATTTCTTAAATTTACCGTTATATGAGAATCGGCCGTTATTTTAGTCCGATTTCAATAATTTTCAACGTTTTGCTTACACGTGGCAAGTACAATAAC